ACTGAATCCTGAACAACATAGGAACAAGCACCCCTCTTAGTAGAAGACACCAATCAAAATGAAGCAAGAAAAACAGAGCACTTTACCACCCATTAATTCTTCCTCTCATTACATGCCAGTAATTTCTTCCATAGCCAGAGCTCACTGGGTCCAAATCCAAACCCAATAAAAGATCATGATCATCCACCAAGAAAAATGGTCATATCCTGCACATGGAAACAAGTGAAAAGATTTGCTCTCATGATCCTGCCAATTAGAAATCAAGCAACCCATTTGAGAGACCAGGGAAGGGAAGATAGGGTACCCTTGAGATAAAGTCCTTGTTTTTTTTTTGGTTTCCCGCTCGGTATCCAGGCTTCGCCCTAACTAATCCGGACCCGACCCGCGTCGCGCACTTGAAAATGGTGAGTGAGTCTCCCAACGAGAGCTGCTGCGTACACAAGGTCTCAAATTCGAGATCTTGCTTAAGCTAAAACAAGCCGCTTACTACTTGATCCAACCCCTCGTTAGTGAGATAAACTCCTTGTAAGTGAACTATTATTGTCCCAAAACATGGTGTGTGTCATTGCTCTATTCCATTGAAGCTGGCCACATATAATTGCTCCCCCACCCCCAACTTTAGTCTCCTCCTTTATTGATCTTCTCGTACCAAAAAGCAAAAATATCTCCCTTAGAGTCTACATTAGTTAGATATAAATGACATTCATATGATTAAAGGAAGACCACTTGTTTTTTGTATTAAATGAGTAAAGAAAAATTGACGTCCTCTCAAGAGCAAAATCCAAGTGCTTTTCAGCCATTAAGGAAAAGGGGTATGAATGTTAGCCTGTTAGGCAGAAGCTTTTATATTGTTTTATTAACTTCAATCATCCTGAGCATAATGATTGAAAGGGATTGATAATGTTATATAAATTGAAAGGATCAAGGAAAAAAAAAATTGGACGGAAAGAGAAAAGCAGTAGGCCATGTTTTTGTTGAGGTCACAAAATTAATTATTTTCAATTCAAGAAAACCAAAGACAGGTAGAGTATTTTGAAGGCATCTTTTTCCTGATTTTGTTGGTAGGATAAATATATATATATATTTATTTATCCTAATCCAATTTTAAAAATGTTGAAAGTTATATTGATATCCAGACCGTACATGGTTGTCAAACTGTTTTTTTTTTTTTCCTTTTCAAAATAAGATTTTTTTATTTTACAATTGGGACAAAATAATAAAATCTGTTAAATAAGAGAACAATTATAAAAAAAAATTGTCCATATTTAATGATTTATAAAAAGTAGAAAATAGAGAAACTCTCATTCTTTAAAGAAAAATTGTTAAATTCCCAATTTGATCCTAAATTATTATACAAATTCTTTGATATAATTTGGTAAGAAACTGTTTTTTATCGTTAAATAATAGATATATCAATTTTTTTTTATAAAAAATTCAAATTGAGACTAAATCAATAAATAATATAGAGCAAATGGAGTGTACTAATTTAAAAACCAAATTGAGAGTTAAGAAAAAAAAAAAAAGGGAGAAGGGATATATTAGATATACGATATTACTTCACGCTGACGAGGCAGCTCCTATGGGCCCCATATAAAAATGGGCCCAAGTAATTAGTATCTTTTTCAGAAACGGTAGATTTCCGTGAGCCCCGCATGGGCAAAAGGTGGGGGGGCCCATTTTACCAATCGGGACCGTAACTATTCCTATCATCCACCGTCAAAATAACTCCCTATCCAAATGTGAAAATAAGAGCGTCAGTATTAATATTATTAAGAAAAAGTGTACAACAGTTATATTTTTAAAATATTTAAAAAAAAAATTCTCAAAATTATGTGTTAACGAATTTTCATTAAAAAATTAAAAGCAATTTATTTTAGTCTTTTCTCATATTATTTTAATGAAACAACATAATTTTGAATTTTTCTTTTTTAATTTTTTTAAAATATAGTTGACAAACAAATCATTATTTTTAGTATTATTATTTATTTCTAAAATTATATTTTCATTTTAACTTTAGAACCTGCTTGAATGGAATTCCATTTTTCTAATGACAATTCTTTTTTGCCATCCAAAAGCATGCTACCAAACCGACCTTTTCCTTTTGTTTTTCCCCAACATTTCCTAATTACTTTATAGTGAGTGCGATTGTGGGAATGAATTGCACCCAAAAAAAAAAAAAAAAAAAAAACTGTGTGGGAATGAAAAATGGCAAATTTCCATTTTTCTTTTTTGAATAAAGGGAAATATTATATTGGTCCCAATAAGGACTTAAACCTTGACAAAAATAAAAATGTTTGATGCATATTGCTACCCCACCAAGGGCTGGTAATGCGATTTTTTTTTTTTTTTTTTGACGCAATGCCTACTCTACATGTCAAAGTAGTCCATTATTCTTCTTGAAAAAAATAAATACACAAATAGCTGTACAGTGAACCCACAACCTCATAAACCTTTACTCGAAAAGGACTTCTCCTCCTAACCATTTATTCCAGCTGCAAATCATGGTTCCCTTTCTTCCAGGAACTAAAGTCCATGCCCTCCCATCCCTTTCATGTTATTGTAATAGCCAGCTGCACACACACTCACCAAACCAATCCCATGTCATACAACAAACATATTCCCTTCATAGGCTCAACTCCACTCATTTTGAACAAAATATATTCCCTTCATAAACTCGACTCAACTCGACTCGTCTCATTTTGTTCTTTTCAAGTTCTTATCAGAGTCAGCCTGGCCTAGTTGGAGTTTTGAAAGAACATTCTATCTAGAACTATTATGGCTGCCGGTAAAAATCTTAGAAGCATTTCTAAGAGAACTCCCTTTCACGTAACTCAAGCCTCTTTAGTTTATGATAGAAAAATTGACCTTATTTGGGTGAATTTGTTAAGCTTTCTTACAAAGAATGATTTCTATTCAGCAAAACAGCTGGGATGATCTACTGGGGCTTTCCAATTTGTTATACCTAATGGATGGTGTACCTGTTTGAGTAGCCTGAGGCTTTGTGATACTAGGTTAGGTGAAATGGTATTAGGTTAAAGAAAGGGATTTTTTAGCTAAAAAAATATGGGGCAGGATTTAGGCTGGTGTTTTAAATTCAAGGCCTAAATTATGGGTGGTCTGAGTCTGCAAAAAGCCGAACTCACTTGCAATAATAAAACCCAGCTAATTTATCATTTATTGGTAAATCGCCAACAGAACAGAGCAAGTTTGGGAGCTTTAATTGCTATGATAGTGTGTAAACCTTACCTATGTTGCGTTCCCCTAACCTCACCACCATATCCCTACCCTATCCCCAACTCAGAGTCTCAGACACAGTAAGAGCAACTTTTAAGGCATACACAGTACCAAACTAGGGAAAGGAACAGTTCAAAGGGCTCTGCAAGCTGTACTCTATCTCATTACACAAGATGCATGTGAGAAAACTGTGTTTTTGTTATGAGTTCAACAAAAAAGGGGAATGAGAGATTTCCAAATTTTGAATTGCTGTCTGAAAACCAGAGATATATTTCCTAAAACTGAGCTTATCCAAAAATATATATATTTTTTTCAAAAACTGAACAATTAAGTCTTACCAATCGAGGAAACGAGAGATTATGCATTCCATAATAGATCCAGCCTGTCATGACTGCAGCAAATGTGGAGTGAAACTTCAAAAGAAACCTTCATATTGTTAATATCTCTAAACCATACTGGTCCAAGGATTTTATACAGCAAAAAGCTCGGTTCTCAAAGTAACTTCATGATTAATAGGGCCAAATTTAACTACTACAGTCTATATACGGCGAGATCTTTCTTAATCATGAACTAGCATCCCATATAATACACACATTCAACATTACTACAGATAGTGTGCAACTGGCCTATAGCTAATGAAACAAGAATATTGATGCAACCCTTAAGGACCATAATTTGCAGACATGATGCAGGAGGCAAGGCTACTGTGTGTACACATTAATTTAGGAAGACATGCATGTTATAAAGTTAAATAAGCTTATTTAGGAAGACAGTTTTATCTTGAATAACATCAAGTAATCATCACAAAACTTAAGGACAATAAAAGGATTGGCTAATTTTCTATATGAAAAATAAAAAGAAAGAAAGAAAGAAAGAGAGAGAGTTAATCACACCTATGAAGAATTTCGTGACAAAGGCTTTATCTTCTCTCCAATAGCTTCTCAGCTTCAATAACCTTTCTAGATGCCCCAGAGATATATACTTTATATGTTTCCATCTGTTCAATCTCTTTATGAATTAAAGCAGGCACTTTCAAAACTTTATATATTTTATATGTGTAACACTTCAGCAATAAGGCTTCATGGTACTAGAAAGTAGAAACAATGCCTGCACTACTCCACTTGAGGTGCTTCTTTGTGTAGGATTGTTTGCTCCACGCCTAACATATGGCTTACTGGAGACAAACAACAATAATGGAAGCTTAGCCAAGAAAAAAAAAGACAAAATTATTGAGTAAACCACACATTGCAAGCTAAAGAAGATGCAACATTACCCAAAGAGTAGTCTTCATCTCTACTCTGAAGTTCTTTGACTGTTGGAATGTGATCTACAGGGATCACCAAGTAATGCCTAATTACAGAATCAAGCAAAGTAGCAAAAGTCACTACAGGTATCATTGGGGAAAGCATTAAAAGAATCAAGCAAATTTGGGTAATTGAGAGTTGGTGATGAGAATTTTGTAGAATTGTATCTTTGTTATGTACATTAACGAGGACTCATTAGTAGAACCTGAAAGGTGCCGGCTTGATATCTTGAAATGCAACGACCTTGTTACCCTGATAAGAATAAATAATAATAATAATAAAACTTGATTTGAATATGATGTCTAGGAAAGTATCTGTTTGGATGCTTGAATTTTCTCGGCAGCCAAACAGAAGATAGATTGCATAGTGTTGGATGCAGACAGATGGCGCACGCAAATGAGAGGGAGAAACATACAGAATGAAGCAGAGGAGTGGAGGTGGAGTTGCAAGGCAAGCAATCTGACAGAAGAGGCACGGCGTTTTACGACGGCGGCGGCGTCGCTGCTGCTCCCACCATTTTCCCCAATTAAGGAAGACCAATACCTAATGCGCGCTGAAACGAGTACTTGAAACAAAACGATCACGTTTAGCTAATTCAAGTGGAATTACATCTAAGGGGCTGTTGGGATTAATACAACCAATAATTGATAATTAAAATTTGATAATTACAGTGTTGTAAAAAGTGAGCTTAGGTGGCGCCCAGGCATCGCTTTGGGTTTAAGCAGTGTCATTCCGCTTGCATCAGCTTAGACTCTAGGTAATGTCATTTTACCTGCTCGCATCAGCTTAGACTCTAGGCAATGTCATTTTACCTGCAAAAATTTAATTTGGTTTGCATTATTTAGATTAATTAAGTATGCACTATTTAGATTAATTAAGTATGCCCATACAGTATTAGGCGTGTTTAATGGTGTCTAAAGTGTTTGAACAAATGTTTTTTTAATTAATTTTTTAGCATAATAAAATGATGTCGTTCAATTTATTATAAAAATTATATTAAAAAAATTAAATGTCAAGTAATCCCCTATATTCAGATCTTTAGACATGATAATGAATGTTTAATTTTTTTACTTATTTTATAATTTTTAAAATTGTTTTACATTTTTTTCTTTTTATTCTTAGAATTATATCTAAAAATTATTATTAAAAAAAAAAAAACCACCTAAACCACCTAAACATCGCCTATGCACACTAAGCTCTAGGTGTGGACAACTATCCACCATCGTTTAGCGCTTTCTGCAACCTTGAATAATTGTTAAAGAAAGGATTACATAAAAGAGGCTATTTGAAGTTACTGTTTAAGTAAATTAATGACTAATAATTGATATTTGATGGTTGAATTGTTTGTAAAAGGTAAAAATAAACATCCCCTAAAATGTCATCGTTTCATCATAGCCTAGTACATGGAGGGTATTTGAGGAAATAGGCTGGGGTGGGGTTCTTTATTTGATATAGTTTAACAACACTTATTGATACTTAACCTTTTAATTTTATCTCTTTATTATTTAAAAAATATATAAAATATTAATTGAAATAAATATTATATATGAAATATATTTATTTGATATAAGTTTTGTTCAACAATATTTTTTAATACTTTAACTTTTTATTTTATATTTTTTTATTATTTTAAAAACATATAAAATATTAATTAAAATAAATATTATATATAAAATATATTTTACATATTTTTAGAGTGTTAAAAGAACAAAAAAATAACCTATAGTTATAATTATATATCAACGTTGTGAAACTAAACCACAGCTACCTGAGAATTCGTCTACTGATGAGCTGAATGCTGAGCTAAATTCTAAACATTTTATTAAGGGCCATTCTGACAGATTATACCCAGCTTTTACAAAGTGATTAGCTATTTTGAAATTCAAGCAAATATTAGGTATTTTGAATTTGAATTAAAATAGAGACAATCACCTGTATTGCAATTCCAATTATACTAAATTACAAAATAAGAATCACCAGATAAAGGGCTTGTCTCTCATTGTTACACTTTTCAAATTAAAAACGCATATATTGCAGAAGAGATTAGTCTTTATTATTTAATACAATTACACTTTAAAAAGGAAAGAATTCATTTCCTCAATGTCCTTATTAGGTTAGTTCATTCCATGGACGAGTCACGAAAGTATTTAGTATGATTGAAAAATGTGATGTAACTAATGTACCTCTTGGACCCAAAAAATACAAGAAGAAATCCAAGGCATATCAACTATTAACCATACAAAATTGGCAACCAGGATCATTGTTAATTCCAGATCCTGTGACCTTCCTGGGGTATAACTAGTTCCTCATAATCATCCACCATCACCTGATTCAAAATTTTCAACTTTGTCAATACATTGATTTCACCATCCATCAGGATACATCTGTACATTAAGAGACATAAAGAAAGCTGGTGGTAGCAGTACCTTGTATTTCTCGCCATGGTAAGTGTATTCCACAAGCAACTGGTTAGCTTCTCCTGGACAGGGATCATAGAAGCCCATAATGCCTGATTTCTTCACACCTCCATGAAGCTGCACCCAAAGATAAAGAGCCAAACGTTAAGTTGAGAAAAAGGACACAAATTTCAATGGACACCTTTATTCAGTTTAAACATTTATCAACTTGGTTCAAAGTTTGAGAACGGTAGATAAACAGCATAATCAAAAAACTCAATTAAATATAAACATACCTTAAGTTGCCCAGAATCATTAACATAGAAGTTGAGAGGTAAAGTAACGTCCCAGATTTGTGAAGCAAGTTCATCATTAATTTCTCTCAGCTCATCTACTTTCTTCAGAGCTTTATTACTACCATAAAGAGCTCTCGTAATAACCACCCCATCAGCTTCCACTTGCTTGCTTCTTTTCCGGTTTGCTACTAGTTGTAACAACTGCTGAGCTTTCTCAGCTTTAGCCCTTTTTTGTTGAACCTATACAACGATTATATGGATCAACTAATAAATTTCTTCAAAATTTTGAACAAGAGTAACTTGGTAAGGGATAGTATGCGCAACAGATTGAATTCTCTTAAATTCCATTCATTCTTGTGAAGAAACAATGCATACACTAAAGAATATTACAAATGTCAAAAGTATTTAATGCTAGCATATAATTGCAACACAGAGGCACTAAGGCATGCATATGAGAATTTTGTACCTGGGTAGAAGTTCTTTCCATATTTTCTAGAGATTTCTGCTTTTCCCTCCTAAGGAGATAAGGCTTCAAAACAAATTTCTGCAAGTACACATGAACACTCATTCATACAGCATAAAATAAAGTTAACACAATTATAATGTTTGGTTAAAAAAGATATGAATTGCCTTAAATGGTATTAGGTTTTATGAAAGAGAACCATGAAGTACATCCTTCTGATTGACATTCTGGTAACCAATCTCATTTATTTGATATGAAAAGTAAAGATGGTGAGATATATTCAACTGTATAACAAATTGATCAAAAAGAGTTAAATAATTGAGAACCTTGAGTAATAAGTAGAATGAGGCTGGAACTACAAAAGCTCCTGTTACTAACATGGGGGTCAACTGCCTAGAAAGCAATATCTGCAGGTAAGACACAAAAGCAACAGATCAAAACCCAGAAGGCATAATCAACCTTAAGAATAAACATTCAGAATGCCTTTTAGCTTCTAATAAAATGCTAGATTCCATACAAACTTTCTACATGATAAAATAAAAGGTTGTATATTGTAACTTCTGATAAACAAAAATGATGTTTAAATCAAATTCAGTTTTCACAGAAATTGTAGGGCCCTACAGACTTCCAAGTAGCAGGAACTATAGTTGACTTATAGAAATCCTAGCTAAACCCAGGCAAAAGCACAAAAAAAAAAAACCAAGCATCAAGTATCAAATTTGAAATGAGTATCGGACAAGCTGTCATCTTTCTAGCACAAATAAGACATCAGATGGAGTATAATGCTCTTACAGGAATGATTAACTTTTGCCCCCCACGGCGCAACTCGAACTTCCAAAAGATACCCTGCAATGAAGGAGAAATTCTAAACTCTTCTCTTTCCCCAAAAAAAGATGTGCTCATGTACATGAATATAGAAAACAAATAACCATTGGTTTCAAAGGTATGTATTTAGATAGCTAAGTATGTACAGTCAGTCCACTAATTTAAGAACCAAGGTTCTTCACAAAACCACCAATCCACCATACTGCAATTCCCTTTTTGGTCAAGATGATGCAATTTACCTGAATCCCTATTGTATACAGCATGCGGATAGTGCTGAACTCAGAAACTTTCCTCCCAGCACCAAGTTCAACTTCAAGAGCAGTGCTGAAATTATAATGTCAAAAATTGCAGGCAACCATAACATGTTAGCTTCAATATGTGCTTGAATACCACAGCCCATGTTAGAGCTAATAATACAAAAAAGGCATTTAAGTAGAGCATTAAGCAAGGTAAATCCATCAATGTTACAAGTAAATGATAAGAGTAAAACATTTGACATTTGAAAATTTAAAATATTTTTGATTAAACAAACTTCATAATCATTTTTAAGTATTAAATTAAACTATTTCAGTATAGACAAATTTTTTACAGAATGGTAAACATCTACTAAATTCAAAGTTAACTTCTTTAACATCTTCTAACTATTGTTACTGACTATTTGGCTCATGTTTCCACCTTTATTGTGCCTCAGATTCCATGGACTTGACAACGAAGATCAGATGAGATGAATATAGGCCCAGGGAGAGAAATTGATAGAGAGGGATGCAGAAGGAAATCGGAGAGGAGATAGGAAAGGGGATGATGGGAGAGAGAAAGAGACAAAATACATCCCTAAACTAAACTATGAAACTGAAAACCTAAATAACTAATTCCCCCTAGATCCTAGAATCAAATTGTTTCCATAATTCCTTCTGAACCCATTACTTGCCCAACCAAAATAAAAAATTTTCAACAATTTAAGAGGTGCTTATGCACACATTGATATACCAATTGTAATTTGACAATGACAATTAACAAACATGAAATACCTTCCAAATTTGCCTGCAATTCGGCCATGAGATTTTGAGGACAACTGACGTGTATATTGAGCTGATGCCATAAAAGAACTTGTACCAATCTGCAGTTGTTCAACATGAATTAAGATTTTAAAAAATATTATAGAAGGGCAAAATTAACATGTCTTGCACAAGTTAGGATCCTGTTAGGCAAAAAATTAAACATAAAGAAGCATCCAGCAAATTTGAAAAGAAAAAAGTGGAACAATGGAGAACATTTTATTTTCAGAAGGTGTTCAATAAAGAAGTGAAAGGGTGAAGAAATACTAGATTCAACTTTTTTATAAGAAACCATGATGCAAAATCATTATATATCTGCAAAAGATGAATACCTTGCCCTCATCCTCCTAAAAGGTTGAAAAAGGCATAACATATTTAGCAAAATCAATTTCCCCTCTGAAAATTAGCTCCAAATTCTAGAAGGAATGAAAAAACCAAACCCTACTTTGATTCTTCCAACAATAGATTCTATGAAAGGAGCATTTTGGCCATATTAGACTTAATTTAAAAATATATATATATTAATAAGATTTTTGCAACACCATAGACGTTGCTTAAGTCTTGCTTAGAAAGGGAGAGGAAATCTTTGATGTTCTTCTAATTAAGGGCTACTTAAAGGCTAAAGCAATGAAACAGTTGGTTACACTGGTACTTCGAAGTAAGAGTGTTAAGAAACCATGTGGCTTCTAGGATTATGGTAACAGGGTAACGGTTTGAGCATGATCATTGCAAATAAAATAAGGTCTTTCAGATCAAATTGGCAGTTTGTACACTTAAATGCATAATGTCCAGAATGAAGAACCATGCATGAAAGTTTTTCCTAATAACTTTTGGAGTAACTCATCAATGTTCAGCAAGCCAAGGATTTCACCTTCAGCTCACCAGCAGCAGAGTTTTTCGGGTCTTTCTTTTGCCATCCAACTGCTATAGATGACTGTGGACCGACCAAAAGCTGTATCTGGACAAGAGAACAAAGACAAATGAAAGAGCTTAGCAGCATCAACTGAATCAGTTAAAATACGAAGTCATCATTTCTTACTTTTCTGCCAAAGAAGAATATCTCATGTCAATTTTATATGTTGTTCTGTCAAGTTTGTGCTTAAACATTTTCTTTTCTTTCATGCTATTTCCATGAAGCATACAGCACATCATGTAAAATCTACATGTCTATGTTCCATTATTTAAATAAAAAAAAAAAATCCATATAGATTTTATGCAGAGAGCATGTAAGCCACAAAAAATTCACTAAAGCCCTAAAAGCCACATTACCATCACCATATCACTGTAAATGTATATTCCATTCTGATGTATGAGCAAAAGACAGGATAAACCATGTAATAAAAAAGGTAGCATACATTTCCACTTGCTGTATCAGAGAGTTGGCGGGTCCAGGTATTGGAAAGATTGATCGAACCATCATGCAAAGACTTCACAATGGCCATTGTTGCGGTTGAGTATGATGATATGTGACTGGAAAATAAAAGAAGGATGATATGAAGTGACTGGTTAATGTGTTATATAGACAAGTAACTGTAGCCATTGCATTACCGTGTTGTTTGTATCCCAATGAGCCCCCTTAAGCCAGCTGAAGCTATAAACTCTATGGATGAAACCGAAGAAATATTATGTTTAAACACAGCTGAGGCAGCCCCACCACCAGTACTCCCTTCTACTTGCAAATTTCCACTAATTGCAAGAGCATTGTGTTTTGATAACTGAGACTGAACTTGACTAGCCATAGCCATTCTGAATGTTTAGACATAATGAGTCACAACGCATGACACACAGAACAGTTCAAGAAAATGTAAAGATGAACAATAAACATACAAACACAGAAACGAAAAATCAGGACCAATGACATTACAGGAGGATTGACATTTTGTAAGAACCCAAGTGACATTAACACAGATATTAGCGAATATTGCATCAAACATCAAACAACATCAATCAAACAACGGAATCACAAACACACTAAACCATACCCAGTCATGATGCCATCTCCACCTAGAAACTGTGGCAGGGACAAAGTAGCCAGTATTGTACCAGAAGGACGAAAATGTGCCAAAGACTTTTCTTGCTCCTTCATCCTCCTTAACCTCTCTAGCTCTTCCTTAATCTCTTCAGCTCTATGCAACCTCGGACCAAGTTCTAAACCAGAATTTAACCCTTCCATACCATATATATCATATATCTGTCTTTTGTTCTCATCCGACAATACTTCATACGCTTCCCGTATCCTCTGGAAGTTCTCTGTAGCAGTTTCCTTCATCTGAAAGATCAAATTAATCATCAAATCGAAAACGAACTAAACACAAATCTCTTCTCTCCAGAAACAGAAACAATCAATTCAAGCACACAATTTCAATGCATTCCTCCAATTCCAAAAAAGGATCAAAACACTAAACGAATATGAAATTTCACTAATTAACAAAAAAAAAAAAAAAAAAGATGATTGAATAGGCAGATGAGAAAGTTTGGCACTGAAATTTACATGAGGATCTTGGTACTTGTCAGGATGATAAACTTGAGCCCATTGTCGATAAGCTTTCTTGATTTCCTCATCGGAAGCGTCCGGCGATAGGTGCAGTAGAGCGTAGAGCTCTCTGTTGGGAGGACCTCCGGTGTTGTCCACGTCCATAACATCCAATCGGTTGGAGCAATTAGGGATTTTTACAGGAGGAAGGAGAGAAGGAGCGGAGTGAACTTCTTCAGCGTTGAAGCAGTGAGAGAGAGGAGAAGAAATAAAAGGGTGGGGTTTTAGGGGTTTTGACAAGCAAGCGTGGAGTTGAGGGTGTTGTTTTTGAGTGTTTGTTTACTGCTGTCCTGCTGCGCTGCGCACGGGCTGCTCCGATTGTACAATTTTCTCTTCTTTGACGAGAATCTAGCTAATTTTCGCTTCTTCTTTTCTTTTTTCTTCCTTCTTTTTTTTTTTTTGTGTAAGTTAAGAGTTGCGCTATTGGGTAACTTTCTTTTTCTTTTTCTTTTTCTTTTTGTCTTTTTTATATAATTTTTATATGTTATTAAATAAATAAATATATTTAATATTATAAATTTCACATGAATTAAAAAATTAATCATTTAAATGACATATCAAATTATATAAAAAAATAAAACAAAATAATTATCCCCATAACATTTTCCTTAAGTTAATTATGTAATCCCATGATGAGTGCTCTCAATTTCTCGACTAAATTACACCATATTATAAAATAAAAAATAGAATCCTCAATATATCAATTATCAAGAGGTATTAAAATTCTCCTTATTTAATAGTTATAATTGTATAATTTAATGTAATTTGAACTATATAATATTTTTAAAAAATAAAATTATAACAATTTTGCTTTTCTTATTATTAGATGGATCATTTTAACATTAGAGAGCTCAATGTTTCATATGTTAATAATTTAAGTTCTATAGTTTTAAATTATTTTTTTTGTTAGATTAAAATAATATTGATATATAATTTACATGTTATTCAAGAAAATAAAATTAAACGATGACATTAGTATTAACTAGCTTAATCACTAATAAATTAAAAAAATCAAAATTATATTGTTTTAATAAAATAATATAAAAAATTAAAAATATGACATTTTTACTTTAAAAATAAATTATTTTAATTTTTTAATAAAAATTTATTGAAATAACATATTTTAAAAATATTTTTCTTCTTAATTAAAAAAATAATAATAATTTAGAGATAATATTTTTATATCACTTTTTGTATAACTTTATGTGTTATTTAAATAATTAGTTCTTTTTCACATCCATTTAAGGAAATAAATAAATTTGAAATGAAGGGAAATTCTTCTTTTCCATGTGCCAGTGGTAGGGTTGAGTATCGAGGACAGATATATCTAATATCTGTAGATACTTGATTTCTTTGGGTAGGTATTTATCTATATCTGTGAAGAGACAGTTAAATATCGTGTATAAAAAATACATACCTATTAAGTATTGAATATGATGGTCAATACATGCGTACCTGATTTGTACGTCTGACCTATATATTTGACTTATATTCTAGTTTTATATGCTTAATTTGTAATATAATGTTATGAAATTAAAATGTTTATGTTTTTTTTTCTTTCTTTTGGTAGTGAATATTGAATTGAAGGAAAATCATATGGATTTTTGTTTGTATTTATTTTGTTATTGTATATATAAACTTGTATATGTGTGAGTATATAAACTCATATTTTATTTTATATATAAACTGGTATTACATATATGAATTTATAATTATATATTAACTTATATATTTTTAATATAAAATTTAATAAGTATATAAGTATAGCTGTACTAAACAAATTGAGTAAGAGGTATAAATTTTCAATAGTCAGATAAATACTAAGCATTGAAATATTGTGCATGATATTGTTGGAGTTAAGTACAAATATGAGCAAATACTGAACTCATACCCCCATGCTCACCCCTAGCCAGTGGTATCCCAGAGCCCAATATGAACTCACTGGGTTACGGTTAGAACTTGAGCAGGCTTACTCCTGCAAAGATAAGATGGGCTGTATGGCTAATATTGGCCCAAGTGAAACTTTGTGGATACTGGATTGTACTAAATCATGAAAGCCCATAAACCAACCCGCGTGGCCCATTCGCCCAGTTGGTATGAAGTTTCGGTATCTTTGCCGCTTGTTAGGTTTCAAAATCAAGCCTTCCATTGGACAAGTTTAAGGATAAAGATAGAGGAAACGATTTTTATGGGACGAAAATAAATGACGATTTAGGTGGCAAGCTCAAATTGGTTATTTTGTGTTTTTCACTTTGAGTTTGCCACCTATTGTTCTTCATTTTTGTCCCATAAAATCGTCCCTCTATCATTATCTCAAGTTTAATCCACTTGAATCAAACACTTTTTTTAAAAGTTATGTTTGGTATAACAGTAAAAATTTAATAGGTAATAAATAATATGTAATGAATAATAGATAGCAGTGATAAGTAATGAGTGGCAATTACTAGATAGCAAAAAGTGAGTAACAGATAATAGATAGTAAATTTGATTAATAAAATTGTTTGCTTATATTATGATTAACAGTTATTGTTTAAAATTAAATGTTGATAAGGATATGTTTAAAAATAATTAAATAT